GTGTGAGTTTAGGAGCAGAAGGAGATGCTGGTGGTGGTGAAGTGGGGAAGGAGGTGGCTGGGACTGGTGCTGGAGCTAGGGGCCCAGGGCTGCGGCCGTACTCATACACATGCGAAAGGCGATGCGCGAAGGCAAAACTTTTCTTAACTTTTCCAAGAAATGGAATTTCTAGCCGCCTTCGCTTGTTTCGTCGCTCGACGAGGTTGTCCGCAGCATATCCATTCAGATAATGGGAAAACTTTCGTGGGAGCAGCCACTGTCATTTCTCGGGACTTCCTCGAGGCGTTCCAGGGCTCGGTGACTGATGCGGGTTTCATGGAGGTTCATCCCGCCAGGAGCTCCACACATGGGGGGCTTGAGGGAAGCCGGCGTAAAGAGTTTTAAAACGCTCTTCTACAAAGCCACGTCGACCCGGAAATATACATTTGAAGAGCTTTCGACGCTTCTCGCGAAGATTGAAGCATGCCTTAATTCCAGGCCGCTGTCACCCATGTCCAAAAATCCGACGGAATTGCTGGCCCTTACTCCCGGGCACTTCCTTATTGGAGCACCGTTAATGGCGACAGCAGAGCCCGAAATAAAAGAGAACCTCCAGTCGATCATTAATCGGTGGCCCTCAACCAGCAGTTCTGCCAGAGGTGGAAAGATGATTATCTCAAAGAACTCCACAAGCGCAACAAGTGGCAGACAGCGATGCCCAATCTTCAGGTCGGCGATATGGTTATCGTCAAGGAAGATAACCTGCACTCTAATGACTGGCGACTCGGAAGAGTACAGTCCGTGTATCCCGGCGCCGACAAGAGGGTCCGGGTGGTAGACATTCCCACGGCCCGCGGTGTCCTTCCGGTAGTACCCCCTCATTCCGTACAACAGTAACGGAAGGCGTTCCCATTTATAATGCCCTTCCGTGTCTACTATTCCATCCACGTTCTGTTTTTTTTTTATACCCGTACTCAAAAAGAGTTAAGGGGTATATTAGATTTGTGGTAAAAGTGGATGTGTGTAACGCAGAGAAGGAAACGTTTCCTACCCCATAAAGTATATATATTCTTGATCAGCATCAATAGCCGAGTCTATATAGCCATGTCCGTCTGTCCGTCCGTCTGTCCGTCCGTCTGTCCGTCTGTCCGTCTTGATGAGCGCCTGGATCTCAGAGACTATAAGAGCTAGAGAAACCAAATTTGGTTTCCAGACTCATGTGATATCACACTGCTACAAGTGTATTTCAAAATTTCGCCCCGCCCCCTTCCGCCCACACAAAGAACGAAAATCTGTGGCAGGCACATTTTTAAATATACGATAAAACTAAAAACGCAGTATCGTAGAGAATGCCCATATCTACCAGATTGCCGAATCTGAATTAGATCGGATCATAATTATAGCCAGAATGAAGAAATTCATTTTCAGTTGCTTCCCCTCCCCCTCCCGTTCAAGACAACGCAACTCATTTTCCTTCTCGCTCGCACACTCTGCCGCGTTCAGTGCGCGAGCAACCCCTAGCGGAGGAGATGTAGAATCTAATTGGAACATGTACAGTCTACATGTTAGATGTAGAATATACATTGTATATGTAGATGTAGATATCATATGTAGCAAAAAAATGTAATATGTAAAATTTTTTTTTTAATTCTAAAATTTTAAAAAATCATGCTCAAAAATGTATATACTGACTGAGTACGGGTATAAGTAGAGTCGCGTCCCCAGAAGCGACTCACACGTTCCTTCTCGTTTTTTCTTAAATTTTTTTTCGTTTTTTTACTTTTTCCTATTATTATTATTTTTTGTATTATATTTTAGTAAAGAAAATATTAAATAAATCATATTCAAAAGATTTATAGTTTTTGTATTTATGGGTTAATTTTGCGTTCTTTTAGAACGCTCTTTCATGCATGCATACATGCATGCATGCTGCATACCTTCTCATGGAACAGTTCTTGATACATGCCAGGGATGTGATAAGGAATGATTGCATTGGGACAGTTCCAGAACGGTTCTTAATAGGTTCCAATGGAACGGTTCTCGATGCATGCCAAATATGTGTTCTGTAATGCTTCTTTCGGAGAGTACAACTGGAAGCGAAACCCGAGCGTTTCACGTATTTGAAATTACAACAACCACCACTTCCCAATGCGCTGGCGTGTTTTGCCCTGTGTAACTTGGAAACCAAAACGTCATGTATAAATCACTGGTTCTTGCAAGAAAAAGAACCGCTCTAGAAGTGCTTCTTGGAAGGTATAAAGTCCGACTGGGTAGCCACGCACACGGACACATACACACATACAGACTCGTGTCACGGTGTTGTTGTGACCACGTATGCCCACCCTACCATGATCATGGCTTCCGGCTGTCCGATGATCCCTTGCGGAAGGCTTCCATTGCCTCCTAAATACTCCCATCATGGATTCCTCTTTCCCAGCATGGTCCCCGCATATTAGGACGCTAGCAATTCATTCTCTTACAAAACAAACAATTTTAATTCGGACTTCTTATAGTTAAACATTTTTCAAACTTATACTACAAACAACAGAAACCAAAGGGGCTTGGATGCGCTGGTAACACTACTCGACAAAACCGAACTTTTTTTTCCTCAAGGATCCAAACCGACTTTTTCTGATAGATATGGGGCTTTAAAATTTTTTAAAGAATTATGGTTTTTTTTCTATGGCAGAACTTTTTTTTGAAGAATTTTTGAAGTCTGGTATTTTTTTTTAAAGATTTTTTCAGAGGAAGCGCTTGGATATGGGCAGTTGAGCTCGCAACCTTCGAAAAGGTATTTTTTGTTCATTTTTTCCATATTTTAGGTTTGGTTAACGAATTTTAGCTCCAAAGTCTCTCCATAGATCTTAATGAGCGATACCTTAAACGACGCCAAATTAACGCACCTATACATAAAAAAATAGATAACACAAGATATAATTTTTTTTCGACTTTTCCTGAGTTTTTAAAGTCAAAATTTCGTAAAAAATACCCACAAAAATCATCATTTTTGCATTTCAATGCTTTATATTTCCCAGACGGTAAGCTGAAATCACAAAGTGTTTGGCATCAACTTCTAGCTGCGTCAATTATCTTTTCAAAATAGCAAAGTTCTTTACAACCAGACGTAAGATACTAGAGTTATGTGAAAAAAACAAGCGTTACCTCTGAAAAAAGCTTTAAAAAAAAATACCAGTTTTCAAAAATTCTTTAAAAAAAAGTTCTGCCATAGAAAAAAAAAAAAATATCATCAAACCATTTCTAAGCCCCAAATCTTTAATAAAAAGTTGGTTTTGTTCCTTGAGGAAAAATCGTGTTGAGTAGTGTAATTAACTGCTATTTAATTCCCCTCCCCGCAAGCAAAACGAAAACCTAAAACGACTGGCGTTACTGGTAATTTCGACGCACGTTCGTCGCTGACGGCACCACTGTGTAAGCACAAGCTTCGTAAGCCCGAGAGAGACAGAGTTAACTAACAACGCACACTGTAATCACTGAATCCACTTACCTGACTTTAAAAACTACTTTTAAAAGAATAAACATCTAAATAGACGCACAACAACAAAAAATCACAGGCGCTCGCAACAAAATATTGCACCAATTAATCTGTTTTTCTCCCATCATCCCTCTGAGGAGACGAAATGAGCGAGAGTAGAAGAGTTAGGGTCGAATGCAGGTAAAGAAAACTAGGAATATGAGAGAGAGGGAAATCTATTCTATGGATATCTGCTTCTCTTTTTTATGTGTCCGCTTCGATCTGCAGCAGTTGAAGCTGGACAGAATTTCATGCTGACGTCGACGTCGAGCCCGAACAATTTTTTCTATGACACTTTCATGCCGTGACAGCCAGATCTGCAGGGGAGGGCAATTACAAAAACAAAAGGGCTCGGAGGGCAATGGGCCTGGCCATCGCTGCCCTAAAGAGATACATACATATGTGGCTGGCTACCGTCTCGCTTTTTTTCTAGGCGTCTATGCTCGCTCTTATATTTTTGTTTCGTATTTTTCTTATCATAATATTATTCATTTTGGTTAGCAATGTAAATTTGAATTAAATATTTTCTTTAGCATTAGCCAACATATATAGAATAACCTCGAAACGATTAAGTTAGAAAAGCATATTTGAAATGCATTACCTAGAATTTATATGAATAAAAAAGATTATTAATTTGGAATGAGTGACTAAAAGTTTCATAAGCGGTGACCTGGAGGACTGAGAGATAACATAGAAATAGGGGATATTCAGAAAAACCGTATATTGAAGGGGAGGGTAAAGAACGCGTTGGTCAACTAACAGCTTTAGACCACGCCCATACCTCGTGATGATTGATCGGGAAATGCTTTCGTTTTGTTGCCCGAAGTTTTTTTAGGATTTCTTCGTCGAATCAGATAATATTTTTTTGGGAGTAAAGCTCCTGTGTTAGTAGCTCCTCCTTAGAAAGTACGGATCCTTAAATAAGATTATGTAGGCGAGAGTCAAGGTCCTAGCAAACACACCCCATCCCGAAAGAGCTAACGGAAACATAGGGTCCGCCCCCTTGGATACCTTCGACTACCTTGATGAATATGGATGAAGGCCTGAGTTCAAGAGCACTAGCCTCAAGACTCGTCCCCTTATTCTCCCTAGATGGTTACATAATTTTTGGCGCCCAACGTGGGGCTGTTTGTCCGTTAAGATTTTTCCAATTCATATACCCAGTTGGACGCTGGTATGTAACATGGTTACATACTTTTTGGCGCCCAAGGTGGGGCTGTTAGTAAAATAACATCATACCGATCAAAGTTTGGAATTAGCAGTCACACGCCCCCAGGATTAAGACGAGCAGAATGTTTTTTTATTTGTATCTGGTTCCGTTCTGTGAGAAAATAATAGGCACATAGGCACTATTTTCCAGAAGTGGATAAAGATAGTTGAGGTACCTCCGGGATGGGATTGTGATAGATAGCAAGTACTATGGCCGTCGAATGCCAAATGAAGAAGTAACGAAGTAACAGGGTAGCAGCAGAACATCATTTACAAAAGCCGTCCAAATTCTAGCTCATTCTGTACTCGGAATAGGTCTGTTAGAATCCTTTACGCCGAAGAAGAACAGGAATACCAGGAAGACCTGCATCCACCCAGTAAGTACAGCAGCTGCCACTGTGAATGGAAAAGAAACTAAATTAAATATCAAAACCATAAAAGGCGTTGGATCCCTTACTAATCACATGCAGGTATTTGGTTAGTCTGCGGAACCCCTTCCCTTCTCGTACTGTTTGCGTATGGAAATAATGCTTGAGATTATTGCTGATGAAAGTCCTCACAGCTGCAGGCAGATTTTGACACTTTTTATTTGGTTTGTTCCACCTTGGGTTGAGCTTGCGTCGGTGCCAGCTGGAGTAAATCGGCAGACGAACGTAGTCCTTTCCACGGGCAACTTCGGGAACAGCAGCCATTATTGAGAAGTTTTTTACCTAAACAAAATATATATATTTATACCCGTACTCAAAAAAGAGTTAAGGGGTATATTAGATTTGTGGTAAAAGTGGATGTGTGTAACGCAGAGAAGGAAACGTTTCCGACCCCATAAAGTATATATATTCTTGATCAGCATCAATAGCCGAGTCGATATAGCCATGTCTGTCTGTCCGTCTGTCTGTCTGTCTGTCTGTCTGTCTGTCTGTCTGTCTGTCTCGATGAGCGCCTAGATCTCAGAAACTATAAGAGCTAGGGCAACCAAATTTGGTTTCCAGACTCATGTGATATCCCACTGCTACAAGTGTATTTCAGAATTTCGCCCCGCCCCCTTCCGCCCCCACAAAGGACGAAAATCTGTGGCAGGCACAATTTTAAAGATACGATAAAACTAAAAACGCAGTATCGTAGAGAATGCCCATATCTACCAGACTGCCGAATCTGAATCAGATCGGATCATAATTATAGCCAGAATGACGAAATTAATTTTCAGTTGCTTCCCCTGCCCTCCCTCCAACAAACGACAACGAAACTCATTTTCCTTCTCGCTCGCACACTCTACCGCGTTCAGTGCGCGAGCAACCCCTAGCGGAAAAGATGTAGAATATGAATAGTACATCTATAATCTACATGTTAGATAAAAAATATAGTCGAAATTAATTTTCAGTTGCTTCCCCTCCCCCTTCCGCCCACGACAACACAACTCATTTTCCTTCTCGCTCGCACACTCTGCCGCGTTCAGTGCGCGAGCAACCCCTAGCGGAGGAGATGTAGAATATGAATGGAACATGTACAATCTACATGTTAGATGTATAATAGACATTTTATATGTAGATGTAGATAGCATATGTAGCAAAAAAATGTAAAATGTAAATTTTTTTTTTTTTTTTCTAAAATTCTAAAAAATCATAAGCTCAAAAGTGTATGTATGTGTCCCCAGAAACGACTCACACGCTCCTTCTCGTTTTAATTATTTTTGGGAGCTCAATTTGGGAAACTCGAATGTTAATTATAGTGTTCTTTTTTTTACATTTAAGTTCAAGTATTCCAGGGCCTACTGTGCTGCATAGTTTTTATACCCGTATTCAACAAAGAGTTAAGGGTTATGTATTTGTGTTAAATAATCTGTAATCTGTATAATCTACATGTTAGATGTAGAATATACATAGTAGATGGAGATAACAGATGTAGCAAAAAAAATGTAAAATGTATATATTTTTTTTCAATTCTAAAATTCTAAAAAATCATAAGCTCAATAATTTATATACTGACTGAGTACGGGCAAAGACTCTATAACACAGAGTTATAGAGTCTTTGGTACGGGTATAAGTAGAGTCGCGTCCCCAGAAGCGACTCACACGTTCCTTCTCATTTGTCTAATCATAACATTAAATATAATAACTAAAACAAAAGAAAAGCGCGAGAAGGAAAATAAATCGCCAGAGAGGAGGAGAGATGAAGAAAAAGGGCACCCAAACCAAAAGGTAATTTAGACGAATTTAAAAAAATTAAATTAAATTTAAAAAAAACCAAAAACCAAAAGCAAAATATATATATATATAGTATATATATGAATATTTATAATATTATATTGTATGACAAGAAAATTCTGTAATTTACAAGCGAAAAATATTTTATGTGATCATTGTCATTTTTTTTTTTTAATATTACAAGAAATAAATAATTCGAATACAAAATAAAGGATATACACAACATGACGGCTGGATATTTCCAATGCGGTTAATCGGGGGGTATCTACATATCTGAGAGACTGATTCAAATAAAAAACAAAAGCTGCGCCTAACCGCTAATAGTGGTACGCTCAGTGTGTTTGCCAGGAACCCACCAACTTAAATACTCATTTCTGTTACATTTCGATTAATTTCCCATTTTTAGAGCTCTTTGTCCAGCAAGATAAAGCAGCGGTTAGCTCACGTATTATTCTACACCGTTAAGAGCTGTAATACCAATTGTTTCATCGTCGTTTTGGATCGTACAATGGCACGAAAATTTCTTTATCTGCGTTTTTTCTTTCCTGTACTCTTATCCTTAGATGCAAGCCTCTAGAGTCTAGACTAACTAGAAGTGGGCCCGGTACCATTCACACTCTCGTCCATATTTTTCTGTTAGAAAAAACATTTAAAATATTTAACCAATATCTACAAAATTATTCTTGCCTGTTTAAATGGGTTCATGTGTACTTGTTCACTTGAACATTAACCGATCTCTTCGCAACCAGTATGTAAATTTAAATTATTTTGGTGTTTTCGCCACACCAACGTTCAGTAGTCGTGTTCAGATTGGGGCCCGGTACCCTTTCTCGAAGGGTACTCCCGGTACCATTCGGACTCTAGTCCAAATTTGTCTGTTAGAAAAACAATTACGAATTTGTTAGCTATATTCTAAATTCATCTTACCTGTTTAAATGGGTGTATATGTGCATTTTCACAATAACATTAACCGATCTCCGATGTGAATTATGTTTAATAAAAAAAAAAAATGCAGTTTTCGAAACACATACGAAAGAGCAGCCGTGTCGAGAGTGGATGAAGCCTCTAGCCTGACTCGTCACCATCGTCACCAACAGAATAAAACCGCAAAAACACAGCACTGAGCTTTAAAAACTGATTGATAATTTCAGTAATAATTTTTTTTTTACTACTAATTTTGATTTAAAATAAAAATACAAAAATACGATCAGTTAAAGCTTTCTATAAAAAACCCAAAACGGTTAACAATTCGTCGATAATATTATTGAGGTTTGGATAAAAAGTTGTACTTATTTCATACATTATTGTGACCCCGGTTAGGTTCCATGTTCGACACTTAGCTGAGATTATGCCCATCTTCATCTTCAGGCAGCCCCCGGGTATCGCACTATCGCTTGGGCCCCCACCGACACTCATCCGTCGTCGCCATCTTCTTGGGGGCGCTCATAGTCAGCTCGTTTGTCAACACTGTAAGTGGTGTAATTTTCAATGTAAGCGGAACGCCTATAGCAGCTGCTTCAAATACCCCACCTTCTTTTCGGTGGGTGTACGGGCTGGAAATTTCAGCTTTTTGAAATTTTAACGGGACACCCCTTCATTTTGATCTTGGGTTTGATAGTAATATGAATGTTTTAAAACTAAAAAAAAAAAAAACAAAAAGAAAGGGGTATATTGTATTTGTGGTAAAAGTGGTTGTGTGCAACGTAGAGATGGAAACGTTTCCGAGTCGATATGGCCATGTGTGTCCGTCCGTCCCACTATAAGAGCTAGAGAATTTTGTTTCCAGACTCATGTGATTTCACACTGCCCTGTGCAGTGTGTGACCTTTCGCAGAAAAGATGTAGAATCTGCATTGTAGATGTGTAATCTACATTTTATATGTATAATATACATGTTAGATGTAGATGTAGATGACAGATGTAGCAAACAAATGTAAAATGTATAAGTTTGTAACATTCTACATAAATTATAAGCTTACAAATCTATATACTGACTGACTACGGGTATAAAAGTAGAGTCGCGTCCCCGGAAGCGACTGACACGTTCTTTCTCGTTTTGTATATTTTACAAGCACTATCGGAATAGTATGCCCAAAACTACCCCCAGAAGAGAATATTACAGCATACATACATGTGGGACCCCATTCCCACCCCATATGAGGGAATAGCAGAGCCCAGCTGATGGCAAAGTATGTACACGGATAGGTGATGGACATAAACCAAAGACGCAGCGCTGCATTCTCGATAACACGCTCTTTCTGCAAATCGTTGAATAAAGAGAGTCACGTTTTGTGTTGGAGCCTGTTGGTTACGGCTGCGCCTTGACGGAGCCCCAATCTGTTGATATGTATAATGATGCGGCACACAAAGTGGTATTACACATTTGGCGGCAGTGGACGTTCCTTAGGGTGGCGGATTCGGTGGTCCCACAATAATGATTTATTATAGGTTAAAATTAAATTACAAGATTTGGCACTGAGGGTGCGTTCCGCATTCCTGGACTGTCGCTCACAGACTGTATCATCGGCTTGCTGTTTATTACCGTCGATGTGGTTCTTGACCTTATGTAGTACTTATATACTATTCCTAACTGCACTTTGCGACGCGACAATAGCGTACAAGAGCGCCGTATAAGAGCGTTACGAGCATATCGTTGACGTTTGCCGATCGCTGTAGCGCCCAAAGCAACTACGAGAGAGATGCATAAGGCATACTCCCAAAACATGGGCGCAACGACATCTGCGCTGTTATAACACTAAATAGTTTCCCGGTAGAAACATTGCGCCGCCTAAACAGAGCCGTTAATGCGAACCGTAATACTATGTACGAAATACTATGTAACCTATATATTAATCAAACTTGCGACATTAACATAAAATAAAACACATCATTTGTAACCCCTACATACATGGAATATATTCAATGAGCATGTTTATATTTATCTGTATACAGATGTACATATATGTATACATATATGTACATATGTATCTGGGAATGAATGTGGGTACATGGGGTTGTATTACTGTGTATTATGTATAAATAAAGTATAATTTAAAATGCCTCGGGAGTGGCGTAACGTGTGGTCCACTCCCTGGCGATTTGGTCGTGCTGCGCTCGGTCCGCCTTGTACATGTTGGCCACGAATATATCTAAGGGGTCGTTAGGGTTGGGATCTGCTAGCAGCGACCTGATCGATAGGAGCGTCCAATTATGCGATAGTATATCCAGGCATATCGCACAATTGGACATTGAAAAGAAAAGGTGCTCGGTGGGCAATGGGCCTGGGCATCGCTGATCTAAAACTAAAAATGTTGGCCAAGAATTATTTTTCTTTCGACTTTTCCCGAGTTTTCAAAGTCAAAATTTCGAAAAAAAAAATACCGCAAAAAAATGATGAAATTTGAATTTGAAAGCTTATTATCTTCCAGGCGTTAAGCTGCAGATACAAAGAGTTTGGATCGAATGTATAGCTGCGTTTGTCAGCTTTTCAGAATTGCAAAGTTCTATGCAACCAGATTTAAGATACTTAAGTTATGTGAAAAATAGAAGCGGTATCTCTAAAAAAAAATATCAGATTTTAAAAAATTCTTTAAAAAAAAACTACACCATAAAAAAAAAACCAGAATTCGTTAAACATTTTTAAACCCCGAAATCTATAAAAATCTAATTCTAGCGTTGACTAGTGTTATTAGTGTGATATTTTGCTTGGGAAGACTTTTGTATATGTCACAGATTGCATTTAATGATTTTGATTGAAATATATACTAACACAATATCAGAATATCTACCCAAAACTTTTCATAGAATCTAAATGTGATGTTGAAGCTAATCTGGAATAAATATACAAAGGAAATTGGTTTTAAAAATACAAAAGACTGCCGTAGAATATATCGGAATATATCAGTGTGAAATACATGGGAACATATCGAAAATAAAACTCAAATTTTAGCAACAGCTTCATATCGTACCATAACTAGTAAGAACTTCTCTTCTGCATATTGAAAATAAAATTTCCATCTATCGAATAGAATCTGGAATCAAGCTGTAGGGCATTGAGCTGAAGTCCTCACAAGAAATTGTGCTTACAAAACAATAAATAGCTAAAGAAATGTCAGCTTATAGAATATTAGGAATGCAAATGTAATCAAAAACTGACTTGTCCACACACAGAGAATTCCAGTAGCGAACAGCCGGACAAGCCACGCAACCTCTTCGTCCTCCTTCCTTCCGAGAAACTTATTCTTCACTCGAGGAATGCACAAAGATGCAGATTACTCTTAATAATCCTGTATAGAATATTTAATAAAACATATTGCGACATTAAAGCCAATAGGGATAGAGCTTTTGCATGGAGAATACTTGATAGATCTGATTACATACTACATAAAATTTAAACTTAAGTGCAAACAGCTGTAGTGGATAGTTTGCGGGAGGTAAAATGTCAAATGTAGTTGGGAGTTTACAGAGGTAAAATGGCATTAATTTGGCAATAACGCAATGTATGAGTGGCAAGAGAGGAGCGAGAACGACGAAATGTCAAAACTGACATCTCTCTTCTCT